GTTCATGCCGCAGTGACTCGGGTATACTCAAGCGCCTCCTTCTGCCAATGTCCATCCACACACACACGCACACGAGAGCCGGTGAGCCCAAGAAAGAACATATTCGTATTGGTATCAAGTGAGCAGAGTGTATATGATAGTGCCACCGTTAAAATCTGAGGGTGGTTTTGGGAATTTACCCCGATTTACGATTATCCATACATACGGGGTGTCCTGGGTTCCAAATTGGCACAACCCTGTTAAAAACTAATATCGGTAGTGGCCTTCGGGTAATGGTTGTATTCTACTAACATTTCCCCTTGTCTTACCGAAGAGAAAATTCAGTTATTTGTCAAGTTTTCAGCGGTGTGCCACACATGAGAATAGAAGAGTTCAGTAGCAAAACATGGCTGGCCGACTATTGACAGCGGCCTACCGTTTAACAGTCAACATCCACTTCCGAATGGTTGCTGTCAGCGAGGTTACAATGGATGATCAAACGTAAAGTAGGTCTATGAGAAGACAACTGAAAATTTGGTCTTACAACCATGCGTATGTATACACCAGTTATTTGTATAAAATGCTTCAAAATGGAATAGTCCCCACTTTAGAAGGAGGAACGACATGATTTTTGAGTTTACGGCTCATTTTTGATGTGAATTTTAGGTGTTGCGATCAGTCACAGCAACTTCAAAAAGGATAAACTTCGAAAAATTTCAACATCCCAAACTATGACATAAGCAGACTACAAACTCAGCGCTCTGTAACGGTGAATATCGGCACCTGCAAGCAGACCTATGATGGTGTACCAAATACTGGCAAACCCAATCACGCCGGTCGCGATCTGTCACAAGCCATCCACAAGACTAACATGAGAGCCCACCAGTTCAAACTGGCCACCCACTACAGTCGAATCGATTGCCGACAGGTTTTCTCCTTTCGGGTATCCAGACCGTGGAACGCGCTTCCTTCCCACGTTATCTTCGTCCCCACTTTAACACTATTTTAAAAACTATTGGGTCAACCTCTATCCCATCTGCATTACGCGACATGATCTGTTTCCATCGAAAGACGAATTAACGCAAATACTGTACTCACGAGCTTTCTCCGCTAGGTAGCAGTGAGATGACGAGCATGTGTCCAAGTGAATAACTCGGTGAGTCACGTTAAATCAGAATTTTTCTGTTTCCTGTCATCCTAAACGTTATCATCCTCATTCCAGTCATTCTACGGAACATGTCATGCATTCGTTCTTGTCCGTCGTAAATCATTGTTTCTAGTTCATTATTACGGTGTGGAACGTCTGCCCATGTCAAAGACGTGATAAGCCGAAACTAGAATGAATTCAGTTTAGTAAAGCATCTGGAGCTGCTAATATTAGATTCTTGCGTAACGTAGACCTGGTGTGCAGTACCCTAGATATGAGGTAAGCGACAAACATATTACTTTCTACGCTGCCCAGTGCCTTACCAGCTTAAAGTAAGCGGCATGGCCTCCAGCCGACTGGCTTGTCGAATAACCTCCTGGTGGTGCCAGCTGGGTGCTTCGGCTCAATCTAGTTCCAGAATGGTTCAGCGGCAGTACGTGCTGGGTTTCCGTCTGGCAAGCGTTCTCCTTATAAAATGCCACAAATGACCGGTTAACAATACTGCGGCGTGGCTGATGTGACTCTCCACTGAATAAAGTCACCGCCTGTTGCCCATCAAGATGATCCTATCCCCTCCACAGACGTCACTCATCCATTTCGTAGGGTTGCTTTATTCCCTTCTTACGTTGACAGCCAGGTCGAACACAATCACACATGCAGCGTTACATTACCAACCTCAATCAACATGACCACATGCACAAATACCTACATAGGCATATTCTCACGTAAATCCATTCTGCAACTGGTTAATTTGTTATAGGTGTGCACTATTACTGAGCTCTGTTGTAGTACCATGATCATGCCTATGCAGGCGTATCTCGCACTGTCGAGGATAGACAGTTTAGTTAGTTAGTTATTAAAATAACCAAGCGGCATCATTTCTATTGACAAAAACCACTTCTTTTTTATTGTGATGATAGGTGCGAACCCTGCTGCATTTCAGGCGTATTAGAAATATGGGGAAAGTGGTGACCCTTAAATTAAAGTGCAGGCTGATTCAAAGTCAAGGCAATTGACTCGTTATCACAGCACACGATCATGTGACATATATGTCAACAACGGAAAGTTGTCAACCATGATTTTTCCCCAAGACCTTCCAAATCAAGGACTGATATCAATGCCGTATCTTCCGTCATATAAAATACATCATTCTAAGTGCAATCCTCCGTTCAGGAGAACTTGGACACAATCTGACATAAGCCCGTCGATGGGATGTATGTATCACTAGGTGAGGTAGTTTCAAAAGAGGTGCAGCTCCAATAATTCTTGGGACCGATACACAGGATAAATCTGCGCAAATTGTAATTCATAACTTGGTAACAAACTCCCAGTCGGTTTAGGTTTGATAATAAGCAGCCGCGGCAGCCCTCGGGAATGACTAAGGTTGTTCATACTGTTGACGATTTGGGGAGCAGGCATAAAGGGTGATAGGTACGCAACAGGCGCAAGGAAAGATGTGCCAAGAAAAATGGTTGGAGACCCGTTTCATTCATTTTACGCAATAAATTACCTCCAACTTAGCTATATGTATGTTTCAAAATATTTCCAATTTGCATCGCGGTGGCGTTTAGAGCAACAGGACTAACAGCGTGATTAGTGGGTAATGTGAAATGCACATGAAGTTTGGCAAATCCGAATTAGAATTCAAGCTATATAACTCAATTCTTCACATCATAGCAGAGCTATTGGACGCGGTAGTGTTATTAATTCCTATCGGCAGTCTGCTGTATTGTAAACTCCTATAAACACCTGAGCAGACGGTCATTCCTTGAGGACACGCAAGCGCACTTGACCGCGAAATGTTTGACACATTTTGTTCCGATTCGGTGTCCACATACTTCAATGCTACAATGAGATGACAGCACCATTTGAGGATAATAGTTGTGATAATCACTGAACTGGAGACCGCTACACCGCCGCATGTCTTGCTGTTTCTGCCCTTTCCTATCAAGATTGAAAACCTATTCGTAAGTTGATTACTGTGTTTAGTTTGTATTATAGAACCGCGATAAGAAGAATTTACGTTTTAATTTCGCTGCCCAGACCGTGCACATAGTGTAGATTTACTAGGCAACAGTTTCTTGCCTCATCTCGCATGATTACCTAGTCCAGGCTTGGTACGGTCTTTACACATGGCATGCGGTTTTTATTTGCCAATGATAGAAAGTTGCCGACAAGTTGACCTTCAGGATGGACTCATTCAATATGACATGCGTTCGTTTGAAACATCGTGTGACGAGTGGATGATGAAGCTCTCAGCACAAAATTCAAGTATTATGTGCCGCGATTGTTTGATACTCGAAGGATCTATCACACGTAACAGCGAATGCATCTGTGTACAACGGTTTACACGCGACTTCGGAATCACTCTGAACAGAGTGAGCATCATTAATCACGAGCCAGAAAATCTGTGGCTAATATATCTCATAAGGTACATCCAGTCTCAGGAAGAGTTGAGCTTTTAAAATCCTCAATCATCCAATGCTGGAGTAGTGCAGCAAAATATGTCGCAACATGAGGAAATCTGACGGAACAGTGATGGGAAGCTTGCGATGATCTAGTAGGCAAAAAAGTCTACCACGAACTATCGGGAGCGGTGCCAGCAACTCCATCCACATTGGCTACAAAGACTAAAGCACAACATGATACTGTTGTACAACCTGATTCATGGCAATGTCCATTGATTGCAGTTTGCCCATAGTAACACTGCAGTACAGTTCCACTCGGAACCTGCGTAACAAAGATTTTACCCTGAGTATACCATGATATAGAGCGTCGCGCTATTCTGCAGAATTTGCTCCCAATCATAATCAGGCCGTGTGAGACTGTGGCAATCATTTCGCAATAAGCTGGGAAGCTATCTCAACCAAGTCACACGATAGTGTCATTTGGTTTCTGGGGAATATCACCTAAGGACCTAATTAATGAAGACCCAAATAAGGTTTAAATGGCTAAATACCAAAAGCTACGCAACGTAATTATCCCTCAGTGTTTTCGATACACGCAACCTGCAAAGTGTCTCCTATATTTGTATAAAACACAAACATGAGACAAATATAGGAACATAACTTTATGTTGCCCATGCAATGGCATGACGTTACCTATACATATGTAATTTATGCCAAGTATGGACGTAGATCCTCACTCCATTAGAAATATATCCATTATTATTGACTGGATGGACTGAATCCCCGATCGATGCAACCAAACGCACTGCCAGCCTTCGCGCAGGTTGTCACGTTTGCATTGGCCTTACACTGCGTTCACCTGAAGTGAATTGCTGGAAAGAGTACTCTTCACAATTGTTGTCTCTAATATCTTAAATGGTATGATTTACGAACACATGGCTATATACAATGTGCTAGCCTGTGTGCGTGCGGTAGAACTTTTCGCTGCGTGTTGTGAAGACAATACATTTGGTGAAAAAAGATGACTATAACGGGTTAACCAAACACAGCATATGAATTGTAATAGGGTCGAAAGGACTAACCACTCTCACAAACTGTGGTCCCGATACTATCCACTCACCAGAGACGTAGGATCAAGTCCGCAATCCAACTGCGAAGTTTCGCTGGTTTACATCCGCCCTTTCTTCACAGGAATCCTAAATATCGCCTTATCAGTGAAGCTATTGTTTGATCGGGGGGGGGGGGCATAAATGAGGTGGGTGGGTAATTCCAGCGGAATGTGGAAGGAAAGTACTCATCACCTAGCCATGTGTACTTCACATAACCTAACCACAAACGAAACGCGCAGATGTAGCTAGAGCATCGCCTCCAAGGTGGCATAAAATGTGTACTCACGAGGTTCGAGAGCATTCGTGTAGCACGTTGTGCTTGTGTGACGATATATTTACTAAAAAAACGATAGAATTCCGTGTGATACGAAACATTTAATGAAATGTGTATTTGGTTTAAGCAAAAATAGAACTAATGATTTCGGTTTGAAGAAACCGGGTTGTTCAGATAAGGTCGTTCGACTAGAATAATGAATAAAAGTGACTAAGAAGGTAGCTTATTTAAATAAGAAAGAGATCCTCAAATATATCTTCTCTGAAGAAAAGTGATTTGCAGATTGTGTTCGGTAACAGTTATGTGTGAAACAGGTAAGAATCGCGTGCAAAAGTAGAGTAGCATAAGTAGCATGATGAGTGAAAATGCATTGTGAACAGGATAAAAAACCATTTGCACTCGGATGTTGAAAAATCAATACTGGTCAAATCAGAAGGAGGAAGAAAGAAATCAAAATTCTACAGATTGTGGAGAAGGCGAAGAAGCACGGAGACCACAATGAATGAATATCACAGTTCATAAGAAGTTTCACTGATGGGCTATGGACAACTGAACATGGATCGACCGGACGGGAATTGAAAGCAATCAAAATTTGAGCTTCAGAATCCCAGGGGATTGTTTAGGAATTCGTAACACACACCGCACACGCGAACCGGTCTCGCGAGACCGAACTTGACTACTGGTAGCCAGAAGGAGGAACACTGAGAGCACAGCAGACGTCCACAATGACGACTGAAAAGGAACGGAGGCAAATCTCAACGATGTCAATGAGGTGCGACAAAGCGAAGCAAATGACTGAGTGCTAATGATCGGCGGAGACCCATTCTGGCTCGCTGGGTGGCTTTGATGCGACAGATGCAGAAAAATAAAAATTCGCGCGATAAATGGGGTATTACAAAGGGACCATCCGGTGTCCTCTAATTCGTTATGTCACGAAGGTAAAGGAGAAGAAAACTATAAGGTTAAATGGCAAAAGCCCTCAATGATAGTATCGCACCGAAACTATCCATCGTTCAATTAGGTGCCAAAATGCCTGGTAGAGATAGAGTAGTCGAAAGTAAGATAGCAACTCAGGTGGACGTAATTGAATGCGAAACGGAAAAGTTAACTCTACATCGAACTGATAAGTAATGCACACTATGGATAATTCAACGGGGATATTAGTTCAATAAACGCGAGCAATTTGTACTCAAGCAACAACACGCAAGCGTATCCCGGAAAACCTCTGTCATCGCAAATCACCGCTTTATTGTACACGCATGGACAAAACAGGAAGAGAAGTGGCTCAAGTATCCGGTTTAACATGCTTATGGATGTGAAAAAAAACAGCGGAAGACCTTCAAAAAAAGTAATATGTGGGCCTTCACGTAGGAACAGATCACTCGTAGTCAGCTTCAAAGTATAAAAGGGGAAAGTCTCAGTAACAGGTTTCGCTGCTGTAGCGACGATACGAAGCCTAGACAAAGTAAGTCGCAAAATACGGAAACGGAAAGTATGGTCTGCGTAGAAGAGCTGTAGGTAAATTCCTTTTACCTTAGCTCCATAATTCAAACTAAAAACAGCAAACAACTTACGGATATACTTTCAATCATAACCGAAAAGGACAGACACAAGATGTGCGGTGGTATGTATAAATGTTATAGCGAAGCAGCTCGCTAATCGGCAGTCCGACAACGACGAAACGCTTTGATCTTGAGGACTCATGGATACGCCAACAGAGCGAAGTAAGAACGTTAAACATCTAATAATGCAGACGCTCGAAGTACACGTGCAAAATTCTGTATGGCAATGATGGAAGGGTTTTGGAATAGGGATACAGTGTCATCAAATAGACAAACTATTTTGAGGGAAAATGAAAGCTATACTTGGATTTTACAGCAACCAAAGGGTGCATGCGGAGCGGGATACAACCAGGTTTCACGCACTTACATATACTGGAACAGATAGTTGGTGGATTAAAGAATAAACACCGGAAGCACTCCGCCATCGCGACAAGACTGGACTTTAACGTGGTGTGATGGTTTGCGTGCCTCAGAGATCCACTGAGCTATGCTGTGTGGTGCTTTTTGCACCTTCAGATCCACTCATACCAGATTGGTCAATGGTTAGAGGCCAGACAAACTCAGACTCCTGGTCTTCCAAGTTCGGTGTCGGAGCGAAGGTGGTTTCTTACTCTCTAAGACGGACTCAATGTAACTAGTGTCAAAAACACCGCTGCTATGAACCAAAGACTGTGGTTAAGAACTGTAAAAACGGTCTCTTGTCTAGGCCCGGGAAGCTGACAGTACCTTGCCCACGAAATACAATGAATCTCCCTTCAAACGATTCCATTGACGCATTGGCCATCACAGAGGATAAGTAACGGCGCCTTAACCGGTGCATCGTGAAGAGTAGATAGGGATGAGGATGCTACTGCTCTGATCTTCATGTCATTTACTCCTTCTCATGCGCGTTTTAATCCTTATCATCCCGTTCCAACTTCACCATTATGCCCAATCCCGTTTTTAAGCCCATACCTTTTGGCCCTGCCCCACCTTGCTTTCACAAGCGTTTATATTCTAGCTAAAACTCACACAAAATCGTAAGTCACACCTCCGGTCAAACCAACACATCCATGTTCAACAAAGCGGACAACGTCAGTTCATCCGTTTCTCTTTGAAGCTCTTGATTCTCACTAAGACTGGCATGCCTCAATATGCGTATTTTGTTACAGATTGGCTAATAGTTAACAGTTGTCCGTGTTATATCCCAGTTAGATATCAGTCATGGCGGTCCGCTGCCACTGTCACCCATGGCTTTGTGGCATAAATCTCTGGGTCGTAAGAGTGGGTTAGTTGGTTCGAATCCGGCAGGGTTCGGCGGGTGCACGCTACCAACGAGTGGGCAAAGTGGTCGTCCAGTGCTTACCTGGATGTGTAGTGGCTCTGTCTGAGTCTAGCTGCGACGCATCTTCAGAAAAAGACAATAGAGATACTATCGATAGACATCTGCTGCTCATCGGAAACGCGCCTACAAGATTCGAGCTCTGTGCCCACCTTGCGAACACACAGAGTGGCGAAATTTTCTCACTGCGCCTTTTCGGAGATGACGTCACAAACCGATGTGCGGATTTCTCTGATCCCCCGAGATGAAGCCGCCCTGATTGAGAGGATCACCGTCAACAGCCAGATGAGGGCAGTCAGGTTCGCCAGCTCGTTCAACGCTTCGAAGTCGCGTGGCGGCTAACGGTGCCTGTTTGTCATTGACGCATACACGCCCACAAACAGTAGCAACGACCCGGTGAAAGATGACTTTTATCACCAGCTGAATGCACTCCTTCGTTGAAGAAAAAGTACGGATACAGTGGTGCTGACTGAAAATCTGAACCGCGAAGTCGGAAAATTGTCCACTGATGAACTGCATCTGGGCTGACAACCGGGTGTAGGCTCCTGTAATTATAACGGTGGTAGGTTGCTACACCTGTGTGAAGATGCTCGCCGAATTCTCGAGAGCACTAACTTTCGATACAGCACCCCCAGAAAAGTGACATGGTGCAAATTAGCTACAAATCATCTATGGACCTAAATCGATCAAATCGCCATCAGTTACCGCCAAAGAGGATATGTCCAAAACTGTCGCTCGATCAAACACATAAGCGTAGACTCCGACCACGCACTTGCTTGCGCCGACCTGCGGGTGCGTTACGGCGAACGTCCGCAACGACCCGGTGAGCGCATAGACACTAATCAACTGGCGAAGCCAAGTATTGTGAGAGTATAACAAAGTACGCTGGCATCCACCCTGAGTAAACGCCCAGTGTACATATTTAAAGATTACTGGCCGCATATCAACAGAACGTTATTAGCAGCAGGCATGTCTTCGTGTGGTAAATCAGATTGCCAAACAGGACATTGGGAATCTACGTAGTCTTTTGAACTTCTGGACGCTCACCGACATGTTCCGGCTAAGAGAGATTACAATGTGACTCGCAAATATCTGAGAAAAACTGCGTGCTAGCCTGAAGAGAAAAAGCGAAGCCTAGTAGTCTCATCGTGCGTCGGAGATGGAGAGAGCCATTTTCTTTGGTAATCACCGGAAGTTATTCCGTTTGATAGAGGAAAAGGAGGACAGGAGGAGAACTGGTGTTAGCGAGACCATACACGAAAAGAGTGGATAGCCGATTCACAGATTGTCAAAGCCATTGGAGCGTTGGGCCAAACACTGAGAGGCGTATCAATCAACCTAAGTTATGAAATTCTTTTTCGGGCATTGAGCTCCATCCACCGTGGGCCGTCCACTTAGATCCGACCTCACGCGCAGAAGCCAAAAGGGAGATCAGACGGTTAGAATCGAACAAGGCCGCAGGAGCAGAAAGACTTCATCCAGCTCTCTTCAAATTCAGGGGGTCTGCTCTTAGGGATGAGTTACATAACTTACTAGTGAATCTGTGAGAGCAGGATGCTGCCAAAACAGACGGGGCCGCTTGGTTGTAGTCCAAATTTTCGAGGGAGGCTTCCGCTCCGAATGCGGCAATCATAGAGGAATCAGTCTGATCACAAATACAGCTGGCCTACTTGCGTTCATCGTCCTCCACAGACTGATTGGCACCCGTAAAAGTTAGATGTGCGAGGAACAAGTCGGGTCAATGTTGATATCGAACCTGCATTGATGACAACAACACAATACGTCAGTTGTTGGTATGCCGTCATAGTTATTGAAAACGCTCTGTTGTTATGTTTCTCATCATCGAAGGTGCCTTCGATTCGGTAAACCAATGTGCTCTTTGGGACTGTCTGCACTGGAAAGGTGGGCCCGGGTAATAACCTGTATGCGCATAGTTCGGGCAGAGTGAGCGTTTACAGCAAACTGTCGCCAGCTTTCAATATCTTCAGCGATGTGAGAAAAGATTGCACGCTGTCATCTTACCTCTTTAACTTCGCCAATGATGAAGTCGTGAAAACGACCTTCACTGCACATAACCTACAAGGTGTGAGGTTGCTCCCAGGTGAACGACTTCTTGACTTGGAGTATGCTGACGACATCGCCCTTATCTGTGATAGCTCACGAACGTGTCAGGTAGCACTGGACAAAATAGTATTGGCTATCAGTCGTTTCGGGCTATGCAATGTACCTCGAAGTGCAAAGTACTTTTTCAAGATTGGCAAGGACCCACGCCTGTGCTGACCCCTGGTGGGGATCAGTTAGAAGTCATCGAGAAATTCAAGTATCTAGGCAGCTATATTAGCTCCAATGGAATAGAAGATGAGATCACAAACCGCATAGAAAAAGCACGAAGCGCTTTGGCCAATCTTTGCCACCTGTGACACCGGCGCGACATCGCTCCCGCCCTGAAGGGCCGAGTTTATAATGCAACCGTCCGTTCAACCCACTTGTACGGTTGCGAAATCTGGCCCATCAGGTCGACAGACATAAACAGGCTACTCTCGTTTGACCATCGCTGTCTTCGCAGCATAGATCACGTCTGATGGAAGCACCGCGTGAGCAACGGACGTGTTCGGAGTTGTGTAGGAAGAGCGAGTGAATCGCTCAGCAATGTTATCTCACGCACCGGGCTCGAATGCCTCGGCAATATGTTGCGTACACCAATCTACTGACTCCCGCGACATGCGTTGTTTGCGCACCGGGACTGTGGATGGAAGAGGAGGAGGGCAGCCCAAGTGATGACTTGGTCGAGAAAAATGAAAACCTTCACTTCGAAGTTGGTGACGGTTGGTGCGTCCCAACTGCCGGGTTGAGGTCCGAAGGAGGATGAACCCGTTCGGTTGGACACAGTTATTAACTTGACGAATAGCCGGCCTCAATGGCGCTGAGTTGCGAGTCTCTGTGTCCATTTCTCTCTCCCTTAGCCTCCCTTTCTAACAACTATTTCACACCCAATGCATAGTATGGTAGTTAGCGGTATTTAACGTTTAAAATTTTGTGATCTGTAACCTTATCGTGTTGCGGTACATTAGCTGGGATGTGTTTCTCACCATCAGCTAGCGTGTATCGATGAGAATGATGATGGAAGTACTCCACAAGCAGTCAGTTAGATTCACGACAAGTGGTAGAGACATACACGGGATACTGCATGGAACATTCAAATAAATGAGAAATTTAACAGAGTGAATAGTATATGAGGAAAAACCGTCAAAAACTCTAAACTTACCAGTGATGTTTTCGGTTCGATAAACCAAATTTACTCGAACATTCGACACATGCCACACCATCTTCCCAACGAGGTTCTTGCACGAGTGAGTCTAGAAAGAGGGAATCGGTTAAGACTTAAATAGTGTTGCATGCAATTTGATGCGATCGGCGAAGGGGAGCGCCCGTATTTGTACACAAGTGATCAGTAGGCCGCAAAAGCCTGATGAACTTGTGATGGTAACCAACGGTATCCGTGTGTCGATGTGGACTAACACCCATTTCACTACACAGTGATCCACGTCTATCGGCGCCTGCCATCTAGTAAGCATGTGAAATTGGATTATACAAGTGTGAGTACACAAATGAGTATACAAGTGTAAGGTGGACATGAAAGAGCTATAAATCACGATATGAAATAAAGTAATGAAAAGCATCAACCGCGAAAACAACGGACCGAGTATTTGTGCGAGTGTTCGATCTGCAGTCGAGGACTTGTAACGCATGCGACTGAGAGTGAAAATGCTGTGACCGTCCACGTTTGAAGATCCAAGCAAAGCACCCGCATGGACAAGAGCAATGCACAGAGGAACGTTGTTAGCGCGATAAGCCAGAAGGAGGGCTGAAATGCAAGCGAAAGAGCAAGGTTAATACCACACATGCGTGGGTAATTGTGTGTATCAGGATATTGAAAACTGTTTATGCGGAGACACGTGTGGCCTGTACATGCCGAAATCCTGATTTAGGTGCATTCGGTCACCAGTACGACATGCTGAGTGCTATTACGCAGAAAAGTTCAATGTGATTACTGCAAGTCGCTGAGACTGTCCGATCCAATGAGAGTTCCGTTTGCAATCCCATCGAACATGGCGGCAAAGCATAATAAAAGAGATGCTTATTGAAGAGAACACTGGAGAAAATGGGTCAAAGATGTTGAAAATTCATCACAGAGTATCAGTCGGTGGCGTTTTACTTATTTGAGGGGAATTCTGTTGCATTTGGATGAGCACATTGAAGGAGGGCAACTTGACAGGTGGTAAACCAGTTTAACTTAGACTACTCATACTTTGTAAGTAAAATAAATAGCCCACAAACAGCAAACACTGCAGTACACCGGTATGCAGTACTGAAGCTTTGCTGCCGCGCAAGCACCACTGCGAGGGTCGACCAGTTCCCTAAGCAGGTTCGAACCAACGACGTCAGGATAAGGAGACAAGTTTGTGATTCATAAGCCCAGTAAACGGAAAAATAAGGATGCTAACGCATAGCAAGTAACAGAAGCCAGTCCCTTGTTCTCTGCAAAGATGACCTGAGTATCGATCCATTACCGACCGTCTGACAGAGTAGCTGAGTTTGTCTCTAGGGCTCATGTGCATAGACAATTGCGACGAGCCAATTTGCTTTGTTTCAAACTGGAATGATGGTGGAGAAACGAGACTGATGAAGTAACATTAAACAAGATGGATTAATGCTCACGTGTGTTTCCCGATGCATCTTTGGCGTTCACCTGCAGGGCGACGCAAACCTCGAGTAAGTGCTGAAGTATCTCTACCGAAACGTTGGGGCTATGCTCCGCCAGAAGATGAATGCCAAGCTGACCGCTGGAAATCAATAGAGATGGAATTCGCATCCATGAGATGTGAAATACAGCAAAAGCTGATAGGTGTGTGTGCATCTGAGATGAGAATGGCTCACCGAATGTTCATGATGTGACAGTCTGTCTGTGGACAAGCCAGCAGTATGGTGAGGCAGGGGATGTTGGCCGTTCGAATTGCCAGATGAAGCGCTGCGAAAAAGGAAGAACATGGAACATAATCGGCACAAAAGCGGAAATAAGGATACCAATGAATAAGGATGAAATTATGCGAACGATATTCATATGCAAACTGCTGGAAGTGTATCTGGTCACGAGTTCATCATTCATCATCATTATACATGTCAGCTAGAGATGGTAAAACACCTCCGCTATTGTACCGCAATACATAAAGGAAATACATACATACATACAACACATAAAGGAAAAATAAATACGACAGTTGAATGCCAGCTGAGCTACCAGCAACGGATACGCATCATTCCGGTAAGCGACTAGCCGGCTACTAGGCAAAACCAAAAATTTAATTACGTTTTACCCTACGAAATAAGATCGTAGATGGAGGGGGAGGCTAAAGGGATGGGGAGGGACAAAGAAACTCACAGCAGGAACGCCACTGAGGTCGGCTCCTTGCCATATCAGCAAGTGTATCCACCCAAACGTGTTCACCGTCTTTTGGACCCCAATCAGGGAGCCGTGAAGCTCCAACTGAGGCCAGCTCAGAAGTGAGGGCCTTCATTCCTCTGGACCAAGTCATCGCTTGGCCACCTCTCCTCTTCTTCCACCCACATCCCCGGTGAGCAAACAACGCACGTCGAGGGAGTCGGTGGGCTGGCATGCGCAACACGTGGCCCAGCCATCGGAGCCTGGTGAGTGAAATGACGGTGCTGAGCGGTTCATTCCCTTTTCCTAGGCCGTAAACAAGGCGTCGAACACGCTCGTTACTCAGGCGGTGTTCCCACCAGATGTGAGCCAAACTGCGAAGGCACCGGTGGTCGAACGTAAGTAGCCTCTTCATGTCCGCCGATCTTAGGGGCCAGGTTTCGCAACCGTACAGTAAAGTCGAACGTACCGCTGCATTGTACACTCTACCCTTCAGGGCGAGAGTAATGTCGCGCCGTCGCCATAGGTGGCGAAGGTTAGCAAAAGCACTTCGAGCTTTCGCTATGCGGTTCGTGATCTCCTCTTCGATCCCAAGGGCGCTGATACAACTTCCCAGGTAATTGAATTTCTGAACGACTTCTAGCTGATCCCCACCAAGGGTCAGCACAGGGGGCGAACCCTGCCAATCCTGGAGGAACGCTTTGCACTTCGGTGGTGCAAAGCAAAGCCCGAAGCGACTGACTGCCAGTGCTAATCTGTCCAGCGCGGATTGACACGTCTGGGAGCTGTCACAGATAAGGGCAATGTCGTCTGCATACTCCAAGTCAAGAAGTCGTTCTCCTGGGAGTAGCTCCACACCTTCCAAGTCATGTCCTGTAAATGCAATCTCCATGACTTCGTCAATAGCGAAGTTGAATAGGAAAGGTGACAGCGGGCATCCTTGTCTCACACCGCTGGAGATATTGAAGGGTGGCGACAGCCTGCTGTAAGCCCTTACTCTGCCCGTGCTACACGCATATAATGCTTGGATAATATTTACATATTTCTCGGGCACACCTTTCCTGAGTAGACAATTCCAAAGGGCACATCGATCAACCGAATCGAAGGCACCTTTGATGTCGAGGAACACGACTACGGTGGGCCGCCAATATGTGTGACGGTGCTCCAACAACTGACGCAAGGTGAAGATGTGGTCGATGCAGCCACGACCCCGACGAAACCCGGCTTGCTCCTCACGAATCTGGCTTTCACGAGCGCCAGTCAGTCTGTGGAGAATTATGGAGGCGAGTAATTTGGAGGCGATGGAGATCAGACTGATTCCTCTATGGTTGCCGCATTCCGAGCGCGAACCGCCTTTGAAGATGGGAACAATAACGGAGCGGCTCCAGTCGGTTGGGACAGTTTCCTGCTCCCACAGTTTCACTAGTAATTCATGCAAAGCATCAACAAGAGCAGAGCCTCCAAATTTGAAGAGGGCTGGAGGAAGATCATCTGGTCCCGCGGCTTTGTTCAACTTCAACAGTCCGATCTCACGTTCGACTTCTGAGCGAGAGGGTGGATCCAAAGGGACAGCCCACGGAGCGGGGCGATCAGTAACCGGCGAATCGGACAATTCTTGCCGATTAAATTGCTTTTCAAAATGCTCAGCCCAACGCTCCAAAGGTTTTGACAAGTTGCGGATAGGCTGTCCACTCTCGTCACGTATAGTTTCACTAACACCAGGTCTCCTGCTGCCCGTTTCCCGTATCAGACGGAATAACTTACGATGGTTGCCAAGGGCAGCGGCCACTTCCATCTCTGACGCACGATGAGACCACCAAGATTCGCGGTCTCTCTTCAGGCTAGCACGGAGTTTTGCCCGGAGCTCTTTGCGAGTTTCATTGTGCTCGCTTCCAGCCGGGATTTGCCGGCGAGCATCTATAAGTTCCAAAGACTGCGAAGAGACCCAATGTCCATGTTGTCTATTAGACATACCACATGAGGATTTGCCTGCTGCTAGTAAGGTCTGGCGAACATGTGACCAGTGACCATCAATTGTCTCCTGTGAGCGCTTGCTCAACTCGCATGTTAGCGTACTTCGATACGCATTCAGAACAGCTGGTTTTGTCAGTTGGCTGGTGTCAATACGCTCACAGCGTCGTCGTGGGCGTCCTCCAAAACGCATCCGCATGTCAGCACATACAAGTGCATGATCGGTGTCCACACATGTGGTCACGAGCTAAATGAGGGAAATTGCATGTGACTAATATTTCAGTCCTAGGGCAGCGGTTTGTGAGTGACAGACATCAATCCTAGATCGGGAACGAGCATAAGATGCACGTAAGGCTGGAATTATCGTCTAAGGAACAGTGCAGAGTAACGGCAAAAAATAAGGAGTTTGAAGAGCGACTGCGGACTCACGTGTGTTCATTTCTGAGTCTTGTTCGTTCACATCTGCGCCATTCTCGATCAGAGCTTGAAGCAGTTCCGGTCGATCGTAGATCACGCAAAGGTGGAGGGGCGTGTATTTTTGGGGAGTGCGTGAGGACATGGAGGCACCTGCCAAGAGCTGTAGAACAAACAGGGAGATTTCAAGCAGATAAGCAGGAGAAACGAAAGTTAGCACATACACACACGTGTTCCTCATGCCCAAAGCGAAAAAGTCCAAGGGGAGCCATAGTGAACACCCGGGGACAACGAGAAGTTTAACGGTCAGGTAGATCAAGAACAATACTACTGCAGTAATTTCGCCACTCAATTGTTCTTGGGGGGAAATTGAGTGATAGTGATCAGGGGCAGGCGACAATCATAAGCTCAAGGAATCCTGTAAACTAGTTGACCACAAACTACGTAGGTAGTTGCAGCGACAGCCGAGAAGATTTCAGATTCGGGCCTAGCGGAGCGAAGTAACAGAATCCCGTGAGTACCGTTGTTAATAAGTAGGAGAAGTTGAATGCCGTTATCTCCTTGGCAAAAGTAAGCAAATTAGGGGCCACATATGTCAGGAAATGCTTGAGTGAGGTCGTCGTGCATAGCAAATTGCAGCAAAGGTGTCAAAACACTCCATGTTGTCTCACTATCCAAGAGGGAGGGAGGCATGCATAGCAAACTGGCAACCAGGTGGATGATATGGTGCGAAACGTCACAAATGATCGCAGACAAGATGGTTGTGAGTCGACTTGATGAAAGATTGTTAGAATACGCAAACAGGTTTATCGGACAAATCACTGCGGTATAGTGTGGGCAGAATGAACGAGATCGATAACAAATGAGCGAAAAATAAGGAGGACACTAGGGTGCATCAGAATCTGATCAGATGTTTGCTGCCAAGATGACCTCAGAATCGCGACACATCACCGGTCGTTAAGTAGAGTCGTCTCTTAGGCACATGTGTATAGGAAATTGAGATGAGCCTAATTGCAATGGTGCACAGTATCGCCTATATGGTTGGCACCTGGTACCGCGCAGAGGATGAATCACGTTTGCGATTAAGATTTGGATGATGGGGGAATGTCTTCCAGTGGAGATGGTATGAATAGTGTGTGTGCTACCATCGTAACCGAATGAGAGAAATAAGTCTAACTGCGTCGAATCTTCATAAAAACAAAATAAAGCCCCCTAATACTTACAAATAATCAATGGTCGCCTTAGCAGCTTAAATGCCACCTGGATTGGCGGCGGCTTGCAAAGGAAGCCGTGGCTCTGGGGGCCAGTCCTGTCCTCTGCAAGTTCATAACATACATAATAGTGAAGGATGAGTCGCGCTATATCTCAGTTAGATATCAGTCATGGCGATCCACTGCCGTCACCCATGGCTCAGTGACACAAGTCGCTGGTTCGTAGGACTAAGGTCGCGGGTTCGAATCCGGCAGGATTCGGCGAGTGCACGCTACTGACGAGTCCCAATAAAACGGAACGGCCGTCTAGCGATTTCCTGGATGTGTGGTGACTGTTTGCCTGAGTCCAACGGCGACGAATCTTCACAAAAACCCAATAAATCCCCTACTACTTTCAGATAAGTATGTGTTCGCGTCCTCACAGCGGCCGTATATCCTACGAGTTTGTAAAACAAAAAGTTGAGGCACAAAATTGTTAAATGGAAAATTTGTGGTGGCCTCTAGGTCGACACTGACGAAGAGAGTAAATAGGATGGGAAACAGACTCACCAGGCTGCGAAACACATCATCAGGGACCCCAGCAATTATGGCCAAATGAAGTGGAGTGTGTTGATTGGAGTCCCGAACGCACTGGTTCATATCCATCCCCGCTTGGATGAGGAGGAACACCGCACTACGGTCTTTATTTTGTAACGCCACATGAAGAAAATTCATTCCCGTGTCATCAGTCTGGGAAGGTGGAAAGGGTCAAGCAAAATCGGGAATTTAATTAAACATTAGGGAGAGAAACCGCGCAATTCGAAAGCATTCATTTTAGTGTTAGCTCACTTGCAAGGCAAGAGTGGGATCTCTCTCCAGTAGGGCCTGGGCAGCCTTCACGTGTCGACATTCCATTGCAACGTGGAAGGGTGTGTGTTTGAGAACATTCTTCACCGTACAATCCAGTACTGGACATCGCAGGAGCGCCTTGACGAGATCCGTGTGTCCAGCACGTACCGCGATGTGAAGTGCGGTGTTCCCCTCCAAATCCTGGTGCGGAATAAATGGAAGGGGGATGAACGCTCATAAAGTACAAATACAACCTGAATACGAATTGTGAACAAGAGGCAGGAAGCAAAACAAAACCGTAACAAAGCAAAGTAGGATACGATGGTAGGACCAAGGAAGTCATACGCATTGACGGAAGAAACGACAGATCAACAAGTTAGGTGGAAGGTGAAGAAGGTTAAGAATACAAATGAGACTGCCGGTTTCATTGTGCTCTAGCGGTGGAATAGTCGATTGATTATCGCAGAACGGAGAAATGGGGAACTTTTAAAAGATTGTGCTCGTTAAGGACGAAATCATCATTATCAATACAAGTTAGCTGAGCGTGAGAAAAACACCTCAGTTAATGTGCCGCATAAGGCCGGAATAAAATCGATTGAAAAACAAGATGGTTGGGATGAGCAATACCGAACCACTAAGATGGCATCTGTTATAGCTGTGGTAAGGAAACTCCACCACCCCCGGTTGTTTTGTGAATTGTCCCACTCATCCCTTTTCATCCCGTTCTCTTTTACAGTTCCCCGCATACGTGTTTCTGTTTGCCTCACATTTGCGATTAGCTTGTATTTGCACTGAATCTTATGCTTCATGGTTTTTCCCTTACTCTCTGTACATTTCGCTCGATCGTGAGGCACCGTATAGATACTTCGCCCTTGAACTGACCAGATTCGATTGGCCATTCTGCATAGCCTGCGTAGATGCCTTAATTCGAACTATTCGGTTGACTCGTACTCATAGACGCTTGGTGGCCGGTTTGGCGCGAGGCATGTTTGTACCCGGATTGCTGTGCGTGTTCTCACTAACGTTAGTGGGCGAAATCAGTCGTGGGGCCGACACAACATTTCGGTCGACGGGAGGTGTTGAACAATCGTGGCCTTTTCATTCGAGCAGATGCAGTCCCTCCTTCAGTAGTAGTAGTAGTAGTAGTGTTAGTGGCAGCTTCAGTTTGAAAAGTCACAGCAGCAGTTACTTTAACTGCTATAAGAAAAGCTCAACATCTAAGTAGATTTGGAACCGGAACCCAGGTTGACATCACAGGAAATTGTATCTGAATGCCACAAGCTGCTCACTTTGAATCATGACCCAGAAATGATTGAAGCTTCAGAGCCCAGAAAAGAACACCAGTCCTGTCATACAGCCATTTGTGGCCAAAACGTGAACCGATCCGCCGGACCGAAAGCCTCCGACTGCATCTTGGAACGGTGGTGAGAGGCAATCTTCGGGAGACTGCGTCTACAAAAATCCTTACTGTCAAGAAGCACGCAACTTCAGGCGAGTGCGTACTCCAAGGGTGCATGCATGCTTCAAACTGAAAAGGACCAGGTTTCACAATGCATCACGATTTCCAAGGAAGAGAAGACACCTAACAGTGAAACGCGATTATGTTCCGGTGTCACTACAGCCACAAACAGTGTCTGCTATCACGATCGTTTCTCGGTTAACATGGACAAAACTTGACAAGTCGTCGGTCAAATCAACAAAACTCATGGTCCAACATACACCAGGGGTACAGTTACACCCAGACAGACTAATCGCCTGTGAACAAAAACTTAAGGAACGGCAACTCCCGGAAACCTTTTACTCAACCGTACCTCTGTACGGACATGCATGTCAGAAATGGAAGGAAATCAGAAGTTATACTTATTCGGTGAGTCAACAAATAATGTCGTCTTGCACTAAAGGGGATACACGTCCCGAATACTTTTATGCTGACAAGATACTCGAACGAACGACATTGTACACTTGGCCTGAGCCCGAACCACTTTGATTTTGGATGTATGTGGACCCAGACGGATCCTCTCGTCCGAAGAGATACACTCTGCCCAGGTAACTCATATTTTATGAAGGAATAGGGGTTATAACGGTGTTATGAAAACGCAATCACTCATCGATCAACCGTTATTGATCAGTGTATTGAGCACTTCGTCATCGCCAGAGCAGTGTTGGCATTCGGCAACATTGGCTGACGCAGCACGGTTGTCCAACTGCGGGCCTGTAGCTCAAGTTGGTCAAATACATGGATTCTCGAAATGTGCCTATTCTACTAGTACTGGGTTGCAACAATTTGGCGACGGATGTGGGATGAATTAGGACGGTTTTTACAGTCACTTGAAATGCAATTTTTTCACAACAACATGAGCAATTTGGGGCCGCTCGGTTACACATGATCTGGGTTCCACCAGACACTTATCTACCCAACCGAGTGGAGATTTGGCACCTAAGCATGATCGAGACCGTTATAGCGCGATGATCGTGCGCTATGTATTCGGTACGAAACCAGACGGCCAACTAAAAGCAATGGGTAGAACACACAAAAGTAAGCTAGAGAAAAAGTTTATTGGACGGGAGGAGAGTTAGCTAATGCTAAAAATAGGGCACCAGAAGAGAGCTAGCTAGGGAGAATGTAGTTGGCGTCGAGAGCGTAGACGGAGCGTCGTTCGCAGTCGAGTCGCGCGCCAAAGGCGGAGATCGTGTTCGTGTTTCCAACAAACGGGAACAACGTTCCAACAGGCAAACCGCCTAATTCCCTAATACATAAGAAAGCTATAATTTGAATATATTTTAGAATAGTTTACACAGTCATACGGGGGAATCTCCAGGTCACTACACCGTCACTCGTCAATTATATTTTCAGTCGGCAGTCCTCAGGCAATTACGAATGATCAGTACAGTCACTAGACATGTTTCTCTCCAGTCGGCAGGCACCAGAATACCGAAGAGCCTTCAGTTGACGCAGCAATCAACAATGGTTTACAGTAAATGTTCCGAGTTCCAAATAAGGGACATCAACAGTCCCACTTCTCTTGTGGCTGTAACAATCCAAGTGTCAGAAGACCCTCAAGAATGTCATGTAATTAAAACTTTTCTTGCGGGGAAGGTGGTAAGGTTAGACCAATCCTAACTAACCCAGCCACAACGATCGTCCATCAATCGTTATTGATCACTGTTTTAAACACTCCGTCATAGCCAGGGCAGCGTTGGCATTCGACATCATGAGTTGACGCAGTATGGTTGTCCAACTTCAGGCTTGTAGCCCAACTTGGTCAAATACATGGATTCTCGAAATGTGCCCATTCTATTAGTACGAGGTTGCAACAGCATCCCACTAAATCGATGAAGGTAACGGGTGTTGGATAAAATATCTCGATCGAGACGGCTGCGTGAACAATAGCAATACGAAAGAAATCAACCCAAAAAGACCGCGACAGAGGTGTGAGTTTACAAGTCAACAAGACCTCCGTCTCCATAGAAAATGATGACCAAGTGTTAAAAAACTCGGAGGAAAAAACCTCACACTATTGTTACTAAACATTTTCACGCGTTCACTCACTAACGGCTGCTTCCTAACTAAATGGGAGCAATCCATTATAATGCCTAAGCACAAGGGTGGCCCGAGAAATCAAGTGTCAAGCTACCGCCCAATAAATCACACCTCTGTTGCTTCCGAAGCTCTAGAGCGAATAGTCAAATAGAACATTGTCCAATATCTTACAAGACTGGATCTGATCAACCCCTCACAGCATGGCTTTCTCTCAAAACGCTCCTGCGTTACATGCCAGCTACAATTTCTCGATCACGCCACGACTATGATTGACAGAGGAATGTCAATTAGTATAATTCTGTTGGACATGCAAAGGCGTTCGACCGCGTGCCGCACAAGCCACTGCTGTCTGCTCTAGAGTCATATGGAATTGGAAATCCTCTGCTAAACTGGTTCGACTCATACCTAAACGGTCGAACTCAGGTAGTTAAAATCGGCCAGCAACATTCTACACCGAAACCAATAACCAGCGGTGTCTTCCTTGGAAGTGTGCTCGGACCACTACTTTTGTTAACCTACGTAAATAATATATGTGACCCGATCAAACATGGACACCCATTTCTGTTTGCAGTTGATGTCAAACTGGTTTACTCATTTCATCCAGACCAACTACATATATGTTTGGGGAACATCTGTGAAGACCTATCCGCACTAAATATAGCTAGTGAGCGCTTATTAATGAAGTTCTCCGCAGTGAAATCCCAAGTACTTGGGTACAGATGCCGCATCCCAGAAGGCTCCATTATACTTGCCGGAAACGTGATCCCAACGTCTGATTCAGTTCGGGACTTAGGAATTAGGTAGTCCAACTCTTTCAATTTCTCCGAACATGTTCTTTATCAGGTTGCGAAAGCAAGGCAGCTATGCGGATATGTCACCAGAACTTTCTCCCTACCTGAAGTACGACTTGAATCATTCAAGACAATCGTACGACCGACTCTGGAGTATTGTACTATCCTTCACAGCCAATTGAGAAAGAAAGACAGAACGGCTCTAGAAAATGTCCAACGATCATTTACCAAACTGCTCATGGGACGCTGCTCAAACCTGACTTATTATGATCGCTGTCGAAAACTCCAACTGGATCCACTTTGGCTGAGACGCTTAAAGAACAACCTCGTTCTCTTCTACAATAGTATAAACCAACGAATTTACGCAGACAGCACCGCACTTGAACTACGGGAGACTGCAGTCTACCCCACACGTAATGGCGGCTACTTGATACGTACAAACCTTTCAAGTCATAAAACTCGGTCGAATTTCTTCTTAGTGAGAAACACTGATCTGTGGAACAAACTACCCCTACAGATACGCATGTGTACAAGCCATGTCACGTTTCGAAATCTCCTTCAGACCTTCCTCACTATACCAAATGCTTTGAAGATATTTGACTCCCAGCAAACTCTAGAAACATTGACAGAAGCTGGTATAAAAACATATGGGAAGATAATCGCTTACAGCTAGCTTACCCACTACATGTCATTATATACCATATCAAATCCCGTGTCTTTGCAGCTTAGTAATCCCTCCCTTTATTATCTACTCCTGACGATCTAAATATCCGTAAATTTTGCATATGAGATGCACGGGTCTAGCACCCAAGTAAAAAAATCATGACCCGAAATTCCATTAATAAACTTTGCTTTAATATTATGAAACGTATTCACTATACAAATGATCGCTCCCACTTATGGGACCGTGTACCGTCTGTCGGTAAATATACAAATTTATGTATTTATTTATGTATAGGTGATCCCGCGAACTAAAGACCGCCTAGTGACTCGATATAACCTTTTCAGAGCGTGCAGTACAAACGGTGAAATGGAACAAACGGTAAGTTTAGCACAGGGGGAATTTTGGCAATAACGGACTCATGTACGGATGAGTGACGGGCATAATTACGCAAACCGCCCGCCTGCTGAGGACTATCGTGGTAGACAAACCCCGGTTGATATGTAAAAACGCAACACTCGGAAGCCAAGGTATCGTCGCAGCACACTTTTGCGAAAAGCGACAACATACGGCAATATTATGTTGACCAACAAGTTGGCCATGTTAGGGGTTCTGGCAAATTAACAGCTATGGAGAAAAGAATAAGCTAAAGCCAACAGCGTGTGATTGTGTGAGCTATAACACGACGGACGATAAAGCGGGAAAACATAGGCATCGGCGGCATATCGGTATGTGGTGCCGACGCTTTGCTGTCAAGTAATCGCCGACAACATTCGCGAGTAAACGAGAATATCCGCGTCTACGAAAGATCACGCGAATGACTTTCAAATTGCAAGGTAGAAAACGGGACACCACGACCATTGACCGGGGGAAGTCCAGGCTATCCGAAGAATTTATGGACGAGTGCACAGAACAGTCTGGCGTACTGAAGTCTAGCAAAAACATTGGACTGTGATAGAACCCAATCTTGAAGCAGTATCGAATGCTGGAAGCGGTCCGAACTAGTTTTCATCAAGATCGGTTACCAAACTACACTACAAGGTACCGGGTGCATGGTAGTGGTTGTGCTCATCAATATAGTCGAGCATTCAACCGAAGCCGGTTAAACGATGGCCAAGCTTTAAGATGAAAAGTGCATCCAATATGCTTACTTGATGATTCACATCTGTGCGACCGCATTCGAGCAGAGAGTGCGTAATTTGGGCCAACCCGATTGAGGCGCACATGTGAAGCGGGGTCCAGGCGCAATCAATACGTAGTTTTTTAAGATCGGATAACAGTGAACGGGGTTTGTACAGGTCAGGACATTGAGGAATGGCATTCACATCACAGTTGCTGGAAAAAGACAAAAAGAAAGAGGTGCACGAAAAAGAGTCTAGTGAACACCATGAAGAGTGGTGACACTGAAAAACAAAAGCTGCGACGTACTTTTCGATGAGAAATTGGGCGATAGGTTCATTCTCCTGCTGCACAGCGCGATGCAATAGAGTGAGGTGAATCGGCGTGTTTTTGAAGGAACTCCAAAAGTTGACATCTGCCCCATGCGATATCTGTGGACAAGACGAGAGTGGGATGCACTGAAAGAAGGGTACTGAAATAGTCGAATAGCATACAGTGAGCAATTAAAACAGGTAAATCTGTTAACCGATAACAACCGAGGGACGAATGGTCCTAGGGATAGGCGCGAACAGAACTAATCCATATGGCTTAAAATCAGGCACGTTAGTTGCGCAATGTAGCAGACTGTGGTGTACCACGATGGAAGCAGTATAAGTCTCGTTGTACGCCGAGCGCTTATAGATCTCGAGTGACGGATGGAGGTGCACGGATAAAGGAATAACACCTCATTTTTATAACAGAAATGTGATAGGGTGTTTCAAGTAGTACCAAGAACTGAGTACAGATATGCAAAGCAAATGTTTCTATCACGTCGGGATTTGTTTAATTTCAGTTTTTCATTTCAGCGAAGCAGTGCGTTCAACGCATCGAATGCACGCCTGTGATTGGTCCATTGGCGCCCAGTAACCGCATAAAAGAAGTGATCTTGGCCATCATATCCACCTGATACTGAAAGTCAATTGAGAGCTGTGTTTCATTAATTGATATCTTGATCATCACTCAAACACTGCAGTGTCAATGACCGAAATCAGTTTTGTTATGTGTGGGCAGTTTACTACAAGATCGCAGTGGAGACCCATTTCGTCACTACTGTAGTCTGCACACCACGCATATTTCGGGTTGCAACCGGGAGATCAGAATAAGAAGTGGGCGCCGCATATGATTTGTGTGTCGTGCAATCTTCCTCTGACTCAATGGCTCAAAGGCAAAGGCAACAAGCCATTTGCAATCTTAATGGTGTGGAGGGAGCAGAAAGATCAAACGACAGACTGCCACTTCTACCTAATTACTGTAATTGGATTCTACAAACGAAACAAGGACAAAATTCATTACCCCGATCTTCCATTAGCTATTCGATCGGTTCCTCATGATTGAATCCTTACTCATTCCAGTGCCTTCAGTGAACATATCACTGATGATGAGTAGTGATTTCGCATCGTCAACTTCATGTGATTCTGATATCTGTGAAAACTTTGAAGCTGATGTCAATCTACATATTAGTGAACAACCAGAGTTGAACGACTTGGTACGTGATCTGGGCTTGCTAAAGACAAGGCCGAGTTGCTTGTATCTCGGCTGTAGCAGTGACTCTTCCTTGCTGTAAATACTAAGGTTACTGCACACAGAAAGTGAATCGTTAAACTGTCCGATTTCTATGACAAGAGAGAAACTAGTTGTAACTGTTCTCACGTGGAAGCACAAATGAAGGCATATCGGTGATGAATGGCGTTTGTTCATTGACTTGTCCAAGAGCAGTCCTAAAGCCATACTGCTCCACAATGAAAATGCGTATCCAACTGTGCCTCTGTTGTGCGCCAACAACCGCTGTACGACAACCACCGCTGAGGCTTGTCTAACTTCGGCAAGGAGATACTTAGTATTAGCCATCTTCAATTGACAAGTCAGTAGTTGCCTCCCCCCACCCAGAATTTCCGCAATCCGACATCAGGCAAAGGAAATAAGAAGAGCCTCAGTCAGCCCTGAGCGGACATAAGTAGCAGGTGACCGATGCAACACGTCCATATAACCTGAGCATTGTCGCAAAGTACTCGCGTGCGCTTCTTACTGTTGTGAACACACTGAGCGATGCATTGCGAGCATTGACGGTGGAGGCACCTGAGGTCCTACGATTGTATGAGCCATGTCAAACCGCAGGAGGAGACGAACCTCACTGTGGTCCCGCAGAAAAGTATGGAAGCATCCACCTTCAGATTGGTCGGCTCCTTACCTGCGAACTAACCAAGCATGACTTGCACTTACGGAAGGGTTATGGGTGAATTGCATTGCATCACTGACGTGAAAAAGTATGTGAAGCACACTTACAGGACGTATACGAGGCGATGATGGGGTTACAATACAAGCTGTGACGGAACAGTTACTTGAGTATAGTACTGCCACGCACAACGTGCATATCGTGTGTCCCAGGAACGATTAGCAGTCACGTGAAGTCAGTAATCACGGTGATAACATCGGACAAGCAAGCACATTGCCAGAGGTCGCATCGCGACTACCGAGGCCGAGTGTGCGTCGCTAGGCAACTTTGCTCAGAATTAACCACGAACCGTGTACTACGTCGGGATGGTCTCACTTTTTCTTTCTTTTCAACTCTGTGATAGTAAGAAGAATGATTGCCTTTGCCATTCCGTATCCTTCTCGATGAGAATTTCCGTCAGATGAACGATCGGCACGTTTGGAGTACGCGAACAGTTTGACGAAAGTGAAGTGAAGCCCTACAGTGCCAGTGTGTGTGCTCGGAGCTTTAAATTGAAATTCCTAACCACAGAGGTCGATTCTCACGATTATCGAACAAACACGTGGGGTAGTCGATCCGCTCAGGTAACAGCTAATTGTACCGCCTCTGGTGGTCAAACAGTCGCGGCGTGCATCGGTCAAAAAACGGGTCCATATCGCCTGTCAGTTTACCATTCCGTTTACTATTCCATATAGAACAGCAGCACGTCAGTTGCCATCGTATGGATAAGGCGTGGTCAATACAGACAGTAAGATGTCTATGAACTTCGTGATGTATAGCACAAATTGAGTGTAGCGTCTAGTGAAGAATGACGCGGAGTGCCAGCTGGTATGAGGTAATAGGAGTTTTGGTATCCCAGTGGTATCTAGGATCGGTAATACACCGAAACGTCATACGAAGCTTCTCTACCACATGGTATCAACAGTACGTCAGTACGCAATACCGACACTTCGCTGCCGCGTAACCACCGTCAATAGCGCTTGGGCTAGGGAAGTGCAAAAGCCACCCACGCCCTCGGATTACAATGCAAGCTTGTGAATCTTCGAGTTACGGGTTGACGCTACTGCAGGAGTGCCGGTGGTTGTATGTGGGATGGGATACTAAAGGACCGCTCACGTCTGAGTAGGTTCGGATCGGTGACTCGTGAATTACAAACACGAACAAAGTTGTGTTCTTTGCGGGTCTCTGGATCGGTCAATCCGATGTGTATTAATTACTTCTGTTATGCTTAGTTTCGCGGGGTCGCATAGATACCCAGAATGGAAATAGACACAAGAAATGCAGTGACCCAAATATTGGCCAATTCAGTGCATCCTAACTTCTCGGATAGGATCTCCCGATCGGCCACATCAGCTGGGCAGCTAGGACATGAAGCCAGTGACGTGCTCGTACACAGAGTCCCTCGCCTCTTGCTTTCAAGTTTCTCGTTCGACAACTGTGCACTCTCCTACCTACTTCGTCTGGTCTAAGTAGGTAGGCTTCACTTCTTGATAATTTTGATAACTGATAATTTTGTCCTAATAATTGTGGCACCTGGTTCAAACTGACTGGATCGACTTTACATCGGAACAAGACGTGAGAGGTCATATGGGACACATCAAGTGGGTAGAAAGGTCAAATATGCGAAAACACACGTTCGATCAAGTAGTAGATGAAACCAAAATGCGAGAACCATAAACAGTATGGGCCATCTCAGTCGTAGTACAGGCACACAAACAGTGATGCCTACGCATCTATGCGCTCCACCTTGGAAAGACAATGGGGAATCCCACACTTGATGATAGTGCCAACAGTTCGATTTGCAGCTGATACATGGTGAATATAGCAGAATGGAAGTCCTGCGGGCCAGATAACAGACGGTAAGCAAAATTGGCATATAACTGGCCCATGAGTAGACAGTTAATGAAAAGTTCATAAACCCTGCCAGACACACAAATGAAAGTTGATAAGGACATGCATGGATCACTATACGAACAAAAACACTACGAGAAATTGCGTCGACGTCTGAGAACAGTTGCACACGCCATATCAGCCGTGACTAGGAACACTGGTTAAAGATGAAGGCAGCACCTGAAATGAGAGAGCACACGGCGTCGCCTATTAGCCAACGTATTGAACCGACTCAATGGAGCGTCACAGTGTAGCTGGGCACATGACATTTAACACTGAGACGAGTTCCCCAATGATGCCGCAGATTCCAAACGACAGTTGTAGCATTTGTGATATGCAAGCGAAAATTTCGAAAACACTGCGAAAGGCAAGATCCCTGTGTTGTGTCACCACTGACGCCTTCACCCCAGGACCGCAAGAAGAAGTCAAAAGACGGGCCAGAAAGGGACTTGTATACATGAAATCACATTTGGTTACATAGTTTGGAAGGCAAAATGAAGGGAAGCTACTAAATTACACTTGAGCCAACCAATAGAAGGTAAATGTCAAATGCAACGGCCGAATAAGCAACCGCGTACTCAACAGCGAATCGCATATTTCCTTAAAAATAGCACCACGGGACCCCAAGCGTAAAGCCAACATCCATTTACAGTGACGGGCACTGGCCAATCAGAATAACGAAATGAAACGTTTAAACAAATGTCACGAAACAAACGAGAATAAGAAGTGCAGAGTCAAAAATTAAAAAACTAGCACAATAAGTGTGTGACAAGTAAATATTCCTTTAACATAACCAATTAGAACAGTGATGCGTAGAAAAACCAATGGAATGTGTTCTTGCAAATGGCATTGCTGAAAAGAACACGGAGATGAGCGTCCATTAACAATGACGTGTGTGTACCAATCAGGTTAACACAGTGGAGCGTTTAAACAACAATCAAGAAGTAGAAAATAAGAAGAATAAAGAATGGCTATTAAGCTCGTTCCCAAAAAATGAATGTCTACTAGCTATTCTCCTAGTATCCTGACAGGCAGAACTACATCAGTGTTTCATTCATGAGTCACATAGAATGCTTACGAAAGCCACCTACTGACATCCAAAATGAAAATCAGAAGGTGCGTTTTCTATCCTGTTTATTCGCCCGATAGAGTTGAGGTTAGCTAACTAGCTAAGTACATTTCACTTCACCTATACTTACTATTATATCCTCCGGTTACGTTGATATTCACATGGTCTCAATTCACCGACCGAGAATACTGTGACCACGAAATATCATATCATTTTCCATG